TTCTTGGGTCCAACTTCTTTGGGATTCTCTGAGCTTCCTGGATTTCCTGGAAGTCTATTGCCTTTGCCAGATTGGGGAAGTTCTCCTTTCGTATTTGTTCAAATAAGTTTTCCACTGGTGGCTGTTTCTCTTCCCCTTCTGATACCCCTATAATTCGGATGTTGGAGTGTTTAAAGATGTCCTGGAGGTTCCTAAGCCTCTCCTCATTTTTTTGAATTCTTGTTTCTTCATATTTTCCTGTTTGGTCATTTTTTTCTTCCTTCTGGTCCACTCCCTTGATTTGAGTCCCAGTTTCCTTTCCATCACTACTGGTTTCCTGTGCATTTCCATTCATTTCAATTAGTTTAGCCTTCATATGTTCCTCTCATTTGTAACTAAAATCAACCAGTTCTGTGAGCATCTTGATCACCAGTGTTTTGAACTGTGCATCTGAAAGTTTTGCTATTTCTTCATTACCTAGAGTTATGGGCTCTGGGGCTTTGAGATCTTCTCGCGCCATTTTTGGTCTGTTTGTGTCCGTTAAGTATGAGGAGCGGAGCCTGAAGTGTTCACCAGGGTAGGGCTGCTCAGGTTGCTGGGTTGTGATGCTGTATGTGGGGGTGGGGTCCGAGCGGGGAAATGGCAGTCCTCTCTACTGCTTCCCACTGCTGGGGCCTGCTCGGTCCCGTCTCACTGCTCATTCCTTCGCTGGTCTATCTGCGCAAGAATGTGTGACCACAGTCAACCTGTCCCCCTGTGCCCTCGCTGGGTCAACCTGTCGCTCACTGGGTCCACCCGTTGCAACCCCACACCTGGGATCCTCGCGCCTGAGTCCATCTGACCAAGTTTTCCTGTGCAACCCTGCTCTGCCAGCTGCTGGTTTCGCCCCTTACCAGTCAGGCAGAAGAATTCATTGTTATCAGACTTCTGAAAAGTTCAATTTTCTGTGTTTTGGCTGTGTTTTCTGCTGCTAATATTTTGTTGTCTCTAAACTTGGTTGTGTGAGAAAGCACGGCATCTCCACCTATGCCTCCATCTTGGCGGAAGCCTCAAGTATTTTTTTTTAATCTTCCTTTTAAAAAAATCATACCTTTCTTTCTAAAGATTTTATTTATTTATTTTCAGACAGAGGGAAGGAAGGGAGAAAGAGAGGGAGAGAAACATCCTTGTGTGAGAGAAACATCCAACAGTTGCCCCCAACTGGGGACCTGGCCCACAACCCAGATGAGCACCCTGATGGGGAATTGAACCTGCGACCTTTTGGTTCGCAGCTGGCACTCAAATCCACTGAGCCACACTAGCCAGGGCAAAAAAGAAAATCGTATCTTGATGATAATTCGAGCTAGGAACCAATGTATTGCAACAGTATAACACAGTCAGCAATCCAAGCTGCAAACAGCATTTTTCTTTTTCTAATGGGTCATTATATTATATCAAATGACATCGAATCGACAGAGATTGCCTCATGGGCACTGCTCAGGTCAAGGAGAAATGAGGGCCTGGTGGATTCTCACTCTTTGACAGGACAACTCTGGAGAATCTTGAAACCTATTTCAGAAAAAACAGACGTGGCTCTGTAAACTGGTTTCTCCTCATCTTTCTCTAGTTCTCCCAAAAGCCCAGGTATGAATGCTCATCATGTCCCGCAGAAAGGATGGGACAGGTAAAGCGGAGTGGAGCCCAAATCTGAAGTTGGTTCCAGTCCTTCCTCTGGTCCAATTCCTTACTGATCAAATGAGTTTTGAGGTTGCTTTATAGTCTTTTTGAACCTCTGTTCCTTCCTCTGTAAAATGGGCTGAAATTCCAGTCTTGCCTATTTCACAAAGTTATTGTGAGGCTTAAACTAGCTGGTGCACACGCAAGTCTCTAAATGAGCAAATCCCACCATCTTCTAGAATCCTCGCCCAGCCCCTTAGGAGAGCCCCAGAAGCCTCAGCCAATGGAACAACTGTTGACCTTTGACCCAGCTTGCATTCTTCTTCTGATTGGCTGTCTGAGTTATAACCTTTATTTTAAATTTGTTTTTAAGACAGAGATTTTGTTTGGTCACATGAAATGCCTTAAATAGGAACGCTATAATTAGCTCCAGCTGAAGCCTCACTTCCCAAAGTCACTACTGCTGTCGTCATCTTTTTTCTTGCTTTAATAAACCCTTCCCTTCTTTTGTCCCAGGATGGGCTCCTTGCTCACAAGTCCTTTACAAAGAAAATTTCCCTGGCTGGCTGCCATTGGTTTTTCTGCCCACTTCCGCTTTAAGTAATTTTTCCTCGATAGTTCCAATTTCTTTCAGGAGGGGGAAAATATAAAAAGGCAGGTGCCAAAAAATTAGTTCATTTCTCAAGAAAACTTGACCCAACCTGTTGCAAGCTAGCAAGAGGCTTTGACAGTCACGTGGCTTGGGTTCACCCATCACCCACTGACAAGCCTTCAGAGCTGATCCCTGAGCAAACCCTAGCATTTCAGACCGGCTGGTCCTGAGGGTCAGATGAGGCAGCTGCCAAAGTTTGATGATGTATTTTTCAACGCCTATTCCCATGGCAGATGACCCACTTCTAGAGAAAAGGGCTCCCCAACTCTCTTTTGGTTTTGCTAGTTCTGCAAAACTGTAGCATCGCTCTTGTGATACTCTTTAAACAGGAAGTGGTATGGGGATTCTCGAGGCAGGGTGCCTTCCTGTTGCCCAGTTATTTACAACACAGCAGACTCTCTCTCTCTCAATACAATACTTAAACCATTCGCCAGAAGACTAACTTGTACTCCTCTACAGGTAACAAACGAATAAAATGGATCATTCCCATTCTCAAAGCTGTATAATAATTTAACTTATTCAAAAGCTGTTAAGAGTTGTAGAACTACAGTCCATACTAAATCCACACACCAAAGGAATAAAAAAGAACTGTTTCATAGCACAGATCTTAGATCAGGCATGGAGTCAACAAATTTCAGAGACAATGTGACCAAGGGGCTAGGCAGCTTTTGGTTAATCAAAAAGCCTTCTTTCAACACTGGAAAGGAGAACGGCTTTTTCCTTATTTGCCCTTAGAAATCTGCTGCCAAAACAAAAATGGATTAGGACCAGTATCAGATGTGCCGTGAACTGCAGAAACATGGTGACTCTAATCGAGGCAGTGGGCATAGAATAAATACTGAACACACTCCCGCAGCCGGATGCCCTTGATGTGCCTGGTGGCATACGCAAAGCAGGCAGGTTCACAGAAGCAGAGAGGTAAACCTGGGCCCATACCTTCCTGAGCCCATAAGGCATAACAGACCCTCTGAATTTAGCCACGCTGTCTTTCCAAGTGATTTATTCATCAGGTATATGTGGGAAAATATTGAGCTCCCATGGCCATTTTACATAAAACTTGCTTAAATTTTGTAAAATTTGTCCCTAAACCTCTTGGATTTAACCTGATGGCTCTATTTTGCATAGGGTTACCCTTGGTCCTCTTCCTAAGCAGATCATAAGTAGGTTAAATACCTTGGACGTTAATCCAAGACACCTTGGACATGAGTTAAAAACACCTTATGTGCACCTGCCTGACCAAAAAATCGGCCTATGGTAACTCTCTGGCATTTTACCAGATTTTTTCCACACTTGGCTGTGAGATTCTCGACTTGTGTGTACAAAGGGACCAGACCTAGAAGAGAAACAGGTTACTAGGTAAAGTCCTCAGCAGTCCCCTCCAGGCTGTAAATCAAGCTAAGCCACAAGTACATGAAATACTCAGGAAAGGGAAGCTACAGCTCCCAAGTCAGATGGAAAAACATACCATGAGAGAAGGGGAAGAAACAGCCCCTGTTTGAGATTCTTATAAAGAAAGGACAGCACTTCTCTTCCTGGCAGGCCTGGAGATGTCCTTCCTCCGACCCCCACGTCCCCCTCAGAGCCCACTGCCCAACAAGAGTAAGACAGCCCCTCCTCGGTGTATAACACTTTCACTTGAGGAAGTATTTTCCCCTAGATTCTTTATGTCCTGCAACCCTGCCAGAGATCATAACCCCATCTTCTGGGCAGGCATGTCTACACCAGGAGACCTGTCACTCCTCACCACCCACGCCTGTCACAGACCTGCCGAAAATCCCAGTTCCCATTTTTCCAACTCCCACATGCTTCTGAGAGGAACCAGATCAGGGCCCACAGGCTGGCATGGAAACCAGACGGGAAGGGAGGGGGCGCCACTGGGAGAGGATGGATGAACCCAGTAGTGGTGGATAGGGGGTGCATCAAGCTTGGCCCTCAGGTCGGGAGGTGGGGAAAGGCAGACTTCTGATACCTGACCTTCTACTTTGGGGAAAACCGGAGCAGGAAGGGCCTTTTTTTCATCAGAAGGCTTGGAGGGTGCCCACTGTGCCCACGAAGAGCCTTTCCCCCTGACCCAAGCGCCCACAGAGGTCAAGAAGGAGCTCCATTCCCACCACCACTTGAATAGAGTACTCATCTGTTACTTGGGGGGTCCCACCCAGCCCGAGAGGCCGTCCAGCAGACCTGCCACGCTCCAGGGGACAGCCCAAGAATCCAGGCGTTCAGACCTGTCACCCTGCGGCCCAGAACTGTCACTCGACCCTTCCTGTAGTCTGGGACACCTCCCCGCCCACGCGGACTGTGCGCGCCGCCTACCCGGAGCTCGCCCTCGGTGCGGTGCAGTCCCAGGCGTCGCAGTCCCACAGCCAGGTCGTTGACACACAAGCCGCCGTCACGGTTGACATCGAGCGTCTGGAAGAGGCTCCACAGGCGCAGCCGATGGTCCGGGCCCCCGCAGACGGCGCCGCCGCACGGGTCTACAGACGCCGGTGATGAGGCGGACGAGGAGGCGGCGGCGGCGGCGTCTGGCGGCGAGGAAGCCACACAGCGGCACAACACACTGCTCACCATCGGGCGCGAGGCAGGGGCGCCAGGCGGCAAGGAGAACGCGGAAGACAGCGGGTATCCCGTACGGCGAGCGCGAATTCCGAGTTGCCGGCAAACTGGCCGGGGGCGGGGGGGCAGTTTCCGGGAGCTCCGCCTCGCCGCCCCGCCTTTTATGGCCACGCCCCTAGGCTTGCCTCTGACCAGTCACAGGCCCGGACCACCACCCAGAGGGGCGGAAACCTCCTCAAGGACTGCCCATATCTTCCGTGACTGCTAGGATCAATGGGGAGAGTTGGGCGATTCCGGCTCTGCCTGGGGCCGATTCAAACGGAGAGAGGTGGAGATTGGCTGAGTCGGGCCGAAGAGAGGAAATCACGTCGCTATACGCAGAAGTTATATGATGGGCAGGAGGAAGGCCCCGTGTCCAGTTTTCATTGAGTAATTCTGTTTAGACTTCGGAATCGTGAGGATGGGAGGAGAGGTCGTGTACGAAGAGGTCGTATAGTCTTCGGTAGGAAAATAGAAGTTGTGTGAGGAGTAATTGTGAACTGCAGCTCAAACTAGTTTGCGCCAGCGGGTGGAATTAAAAATTAGTTGGCCAACGGCTCAAGCCGAAAGCACTAGAGATCATCAGGAGGCCAGGTTTTGATCATGTAATTCCCTATACCACCAGTAAAATAGCTGAATTTAATAGCGTAATAGTAATACAAATAATTGAACGACAACGATTTTTCACTGGATGTTAATAAAGACCCAGTGGGCGGAGCGCTCTGTAGCGACAGACACACCTTTAGACCAACAATGAGGCCAATTCCAGTAAGTGGGCGTGTTCTGTAGCTGAGCGATAGATCAAAAGAACCAGTGAGCGACTTGACACTGAATCGCTACCAACTGGGAGGGCGGGTTCCCCCGGTGAAGCGCTGGGAGGCGGGAAGAGGGGAAGTGGGCGGATCTCCGCACACCCCGGCGGAAGAGGCAGATTCAGGAAGCCATTACGCAGCTGGCTGGCCGCGGCTGGGCAGGTCAGCGCTGGGCCCTACGCACTTTGCGTAACAAGGGGGGTTACCAAAGACCTGGAGCTTGGCCTTGGGCTAGCCCAGCCTATCTCATGTTGGAGGGTGGGTGAGGGGAGAGACTGAGGAAGAACAGAAGGGGAATTGGACGGTTGAAGGGATTATAATTTCTTCAGAAAGAAGGGGTAGGGAGAGGCCATGGCCGTCCCAGCCAAGAAGAGGAAGATGAACTTCTCCGAGCGAGAGGTGGAGATCATTGTGGAGGAGCTGGAACTGAAGAAGCACCTGCTGGTGAACCACTTCAACGCCGGGGTCCCTCTGGCTGCCAAGAGCGCGGCCTGGCATAGCATCCTGAGAAGGGTTAACGCTGTGGCCACCTGCCGCAGAGAGCTGCCTGAGGTCAAGAAGAAGTGGTCTGACCTTAAAACTGAGGTCCGCCGCAAGGTCGCCCAGGTCCGGGCGGCTGTGGAGGGTGGTGAGGCCCCAGGGCCCACTGAGGAAGATGGAGCTGGTGGGCCAGGGACAGGTGGTAGCAGTAGTGGCGGTGGCCCGACTGTAGCCCCAGTACTGCTCACCCCCATGCAACAGCGCATCTGCAATCTGCTGGGCGAGGCCACCATCATCAGCCTGCCCAGTACCACAGAGATCCACCCCGTGGCCCTCGGACCCCCGGCTACTGCAGCCGCAGCCACGGTCACCCTGACACAGAGTGAGTGACCTCTCCTGCCCAGTCCAGCGTACATAAATGGGAAGGGCCTGCAAGAGATGGGGCAGCCTGGGGAAGGTTGACTGTAAAGGGTCAAAAGTCAGATGGGAGTCTTGGAAGACCATGAGGCCTTCCAAGAGCTCCCCGGACAGAAGTGAACTTGTTCTCTCTGGGCCTCCCTCAGCACTTGTGATGAGCTGGATTGCTCTCAACTATGTTTTGCCACCATTCATTTCCATGACTGAACTGCGTGGTCCTTGAAGGCAGAGACCATGTTCATATCCCTACAGGACTTAGCACAGGGCCTGGCACATAGTGGCAGGCAGGATATATCTGCCTTGAATGAATGGATAGATGGGAATGGTAATGCCCAAGCTAGACGTGGATTCCAGGCAGAGCCATTTGGGGTTTTCAGTGTGGCCAACATTCATGAGACACAGTTGAGGAGCTTCATGGTTCCTGGTATTAATCTCACTCATTTGTTCATCAAATAGTAGCACTTACTCTGTGCCAGACCCTGTGCTTGGCACTGGGACAGCTTACCACGCTGTCTAAGACAGAGGCCGGTTATAGTCTAATAGGACAGATAAGACATAGATGAGTAACTGCACTGTCAGTTGGGAGAACCTAAGAACTCAGAAGAGAAAGGGACCTTCTTGGTTGGGGTGGGCACTCACAGCTGATTGTGGCATTGAAGGGTAGAGAAGACTTCCTATGCAGAGGGCTGAAACAGCCCACTGAGAATCCCTTCAAAGGTTGTCAACTGTGAATAGCAATGGAGCTGGCTTGGGTTGAACTTTTTAGTTTAGATAAGGGTTTTCATCGGTATCTGTGTAACTGCTTCTTTGGGCTGGGTTATGAGCTGTACTTATCACTGATTCTTGGCGGGGCTTTGGTGAATTGGGTGTGAGTGCCATCCTCTGCGGTGCCATGTTTCTCAAGGATATTGAGGTGGGACAGGGGACCCAACACTGGCCTAAATCCATTTAGGCCACTTCTGGAACAGGAAGGACCTTTAGGTATTCCATTGACCAGGGTGATCAAGGAGACAGGGAATCATTTATTGGGCACTTTGCCACCCCTGTCCCTCCCCCTTTTCTGCTTGGCTAAATGAGACCACCAGCCAAAAAGGCAGTGAAGGAGGTAGGACCAGTGTAGCCACAAACAGCTCCTGCAGGTAGGGGCCTGCTGTGTACTGGCACCACAGGGAGCATGTGGCCCTGCCTTTGGTCAGTGGCGTTGGTGAGACCTGGGTTCATTTCCTGCACCTGCTGAAAAAAGCTGTGTGACCTTAGGCAAGTCACTCCATGTTTCTGAAAGTCATCCCATTTCCTCATTTCTGAAAATGAACGTGACAGGTCCTACCTTTCGGTGTTGTGAGGATCCGTTGAGCCAATGAATGCAAAGGGCTTACTTAGCACAGTGCCTGGCACATAGCACATGCTCCAGATTTTTGGTTAGTATTATCATTAGCATCTTTGCTTTTGCCAGATCTGGGACTGACCCCTTGGTTACCAAGGAGAATAAGACTCTAAAACTCCTTAGAATCTAGATTTAGTTCGGTGCGTCAATAAAGCATAGGAGGCTTGAATTCCCCAGCACGGGTCTTAAGGTCCCCTTCCCCACACCACTGGCCAGCTTTGCTCTTTCTAGAAAGTGACCTGCCACTGCCTTTGCTCTTCCACAGTCCCCACAGAGACCACCTATCACACACTGGAAGAGGGAGTGGTCGAGTACTGCACGGCGGAGGCCCCCCCACCCCTGCCGGCAGAGGCCCCCGTGGAGATGATCACCCAGCACGCTGACCCCTCAGTCAAGCCACAGGCTCTCAAGAGCCGCATCGCCCTCAACTCAGCCAAGCTGATCCAGGAGCAGCGCGTCACCAATCTGCACGTGAAGGAGATCGCCCAGCACCTGGAGCAGCAGAACGACCTGCTGCAGATGATCCGCCGCTCACAGGAGGTGCAGGCCTGCGCCCAGGAGCGCCAGGCCCAGGCCATGGAGGGCACCCAGGCGGCCCTGAGTGTCCTTATCCAGGTCCTCCGGCCCATGATCAAAGATTTCCGCCGCTACCTGCAGAGTAACACACCCAGCCCTGCTCCTGCCTCAGACCCTGGACAGATGGCCCAGAATGGGCAGCCAGACAGCATCATCCAGTGAGGGCAGGCTTTGAGCCAGTCCTCTGCTCTGATTGGATGACATGGCCGTGGTCTTGTAAGTGGGTTCTGTGACTGGCCTTTGGCTAGGGCCGGCCGCGTGGACAGCTCCCTCTTGAATAGACATTGAGGAGGTCCACTGTTTTCGAGAAAGAAAGGAGACTGGGAAGAGGAACTTGCTGGGACCCTGGGATCCTGGGACCCAAGCCCTCTAACCCCCACCGTTCAGCTGCCTTGTCAAGAACCCGAAGACTAGTCAGGCGCTGGCGATGGAACACGTGTTGTCGTGAGCCAGGGCTTGTGCCATGACCCAGCCTCAGTCAGGACACTGGGAAGGAAGGCCCTCACTGGGGAATCATCACACAGCCACACAGCAAGGGGAGGGGTGTCTGTGCTGAATGCCCAACCCTCAAGTGCCATCTTCCAAGTAAGATAACGTCAGCGGTGCTGGAAGTAGCATGGTGGTATCTCCTTCCTCCCGTGGGAGGCAGAGTGACTGGGCCTGAGGAGAAACCCGTCTCTTTTCCCCTCACTGCGCCTCCGTTCTCCGGGGACTCTGTTCAACATCCGAGCCCTTTCCTCCTCACTCTGCGCACAGCAGGGGCCCTTAGTAGTGCTTGGGCTGCCTCTGTGATACGCTGAGGATATGACTCCCTGGGTGCGGGAATGCCGTGCGTGGTGGGGGAGGCTGGGCCACCACCTGATCTTCCACTGCGTCCCCGTCGGCCCTTTAGTGGCTTGTCCCATCAGCTTTTGACTCAGGTCAAGCATCAGGCTTTGGGTGCTGTACATTTTAGAGAAAGCAAGCCAGCGTGGACACGTGTTGCCCCACTGCAGTGGGTCTGTGGTGACCTGTCGGCTCCTTCCAGAAGCCTCGCTTCAAGCCAATTGTATTTATTCTGTCCGTGAACCCCTCCTGGGAAGGCCTCCAGGTTCTCCGAGGGCCACTCTGGCCACGCCCTTCTTCCTTCTCTACTGAATGCACATTTCCAAATCTGGGAAGAAAAGAAAAGAAAAAGCCTGCTCCGCATCACACCCTGGACAATGTTCACACATTATTTGGAGCCTTGAGTTCTGTAGAGAACCCTGCTGGCTGGCCGGGTGAATCTGCAGGCCTGGCCGGCCCTGAATGTCCTCGGTGGGAATGTCGCCGACCTAAGAATTGGGACCTTTGATTTCTGTGCTGGGGGAGAGCACAGAGACCCTGGAGTCCTGAAAGAGGTGGTGGTCCCTGTTCTGTCCCAATACTTTCTCCCGTTTGAGGGGAGTCTACCCAGATGGCATTGGTCTGTTCCATTTTCAGAGCAAAATAGGTTGACTCGATTACCAAGACTCTTCCACCTTTCAGGTCATTTCCCAAATTTGCTGTCTTGCTGCTGGTGCCTTGACCACATGTGACTGACTGATGGTTACAGCTCAAGGCTCCAGATCTCAGCTAAACAAAGAAGGTGCTGCCCTTCTGGGTACATGCATTTAGAACTCAGCTCCATTACTGCACTTACGGAAAGGTGCCCCCAAAGACGGTTGGGAGGTGACTCCCGAGCCACCAATCTCTCTGTGGAGGACATGTGCAGGGCCAGCTACAGAGCCCTGGAGAGAAAGCAGGCCTGCGAGGGGGTCGGGTGGCCAAAGAAAGGCTCTTCTCAGCGTGGCTGGACAGCGGCAGCCCCCTGCAACCTGGGCACATCTCCCTCCAAGGGCCGTGATGGCTCCAGCAGCGTGGCTGCAGGCGCTTCCTGAGGATTTTCGATGTGATTTGGTTTTTCTCTGGGGTTGGCGATCTGAGCTGATACGGTGTCTGTTCCGATTGACTATACAGAAGAAGGAAGCCTGGATCACTTAAACTGGTTCTTTCCGGGTCATAATTTTAAATTAAAGAAATACCACTTTTTTATACCCACGTCTGTGTCTTTATTGGTTGTCTATAGAAGAGAGACGGGTTGGCGGAAAGCAGGCGCTGGCACACCGCGGCCCACAGGGCCGATCTGGCCCCTGCCTGTCTCTGTAATAAAGTTTTATTGGAACGGAGTCACAGCCCTTCATTTACTCAGTGTCTTTGGCTGCTTTTGTGCTACGGTAGCATGCAGTCGAGCAGTTGTGACAGAGACATTTGGCCCACAAAGTCAAAATATTTACTCTCTGGCTCTTTATAGAAAAAACTGCCTATTCCCGGTCTAAGGCAGTGTTTTGGTCTCCGAATAGAATTACCTGGGGTGTTGGTCTGACATACCCTTGGCTTCACCCCAAACCTGAAAAAGACTCTTGAAGAGACAGCTCTAAGAATATACATAGTAAACAAGCTTCGTGAGTGATTCTGATCCAGACTGAAGGTCAGGAACTTTTTAGCTCGGACTGGAAGAGTTCAACTGAGCTGCAGTGGGGATCAGGCCCCAGGGAGGGCTGGTTCTCAGGAGGTTCTCCAAAGCAGAGATTCTCACCTAAGATTGGTCTTCATTCTGGAGGGATCCCAGCCTTCCTGGACATAGTTATCACTTTCTCTGGTCATTAGTAATCATAAGGACTCTGGGCCTTATAAGTATTACCTTATTGACTCCTTGTAACAGTCCCATGAATTAGGTACTAGTAATGGACTCAGTTTGCAGATGAGAACACTAAGGATCAGAGAGGTTAAACAATTTGCCTAAGGTCACACAGCTACCTTATTTCCTGGGGTGAAATTTCCATTTCCATTCTCTCAACGATTGCTCTTAACTACTTTAACCTTGCAGCCTGTAGAAGTGAAGTTAGCTAGAAGTAATTTGAACCTGACCTTGAAGAGTTTCTAAGTCAAAGGAGGAGGTCTAGAAGACAGTTTTGTTATTGTTCTTGGCACTTGAAAGGGAACACTGACCTCTCCTATTCACTGCAGGCTTTGGACTTATTTATATGAAGAGTGAAAAGGGTGAATTAACCGAATTAAACCCACACACCTTAGTGGTACTGGTGGAGGACTGTCACTCTTAGAAGGATAATTTTTTGGAGTTCTTTCTGAAATGTGGAGTTTCACATTGTTAAAAGGAATAATTCCAGGAATAATTCCAAAATGGTGTCACTTATGCTAAAAGCCCATGATACCAAACCTACATTTAATACCTGATCTAATAGCTACTTTAATCTCTTCCAGAAATGTAATCTTAGTCTAGAATTTTCTGGTCAAGCACCAGTAAGATAATCTGCCACCTGGGCCCACTCTGTTCCCCACAACCACCCCCCCTGCCCCCCTCCGCGCCCCCCCTCCCCCCCGCTGATAGAAAGAAGAGGAATTCTGCCTGATATCCACCCCCCCCCCCAGAGATGTTCTGGTCTAAAAATAATCCTTCCTTTTTTTTTGTTAATAGAGAAACGCATTCTCCCTTGCCCCTCACCCTTCTTCCTATAAAAACCTTCCATTTTGTGCCGCCCCTTGGGGCACCCTTCTAGTTGCTAGATGGGCTAGCCTACTGGTGAATCACTAAAACCAAGTAGACCTTCAGATTTACTCAGTTGAATTTTGGTTTCTAATAACAAAGGAAAATACCTCTAAGCCACTGAAGCTTGCTACTTCAAGCATTGCAATCATCTACATTTTTTAAAAAGATTTTATTTATTTTTAAGGACGGGAAGAGAAGGAAGGAAACACTGATCAGTTGCCTCTCATGTGTCCCCAACTGGGGACCTGGCCTGCAACCCAGACATGTGCCCTGACTGAGAATCGAACCAGTGACCTTTCATTTCATAGGCTGGTACTCAATCCACTGAGCCACGCCAGCTAGGGTGAAACCTCCTACGTTTTAATCTATGTATTCTGATGGCAGTCTTTCAAAGAGATGGCCTTTGCGAACTGTGTTTCTTATTCCATAGAGTTGGCACCACAGGCCCGAGAGGCAGGGCTGCCTTGTGGGAAGGTCTGCTCCACTACTTACTACTCACTGTCTCAACCATTCCGGGGCCCCAGTTTTCTCAATCCCAAAATAGGAGTGATGAATGATAGTACCTATTTGACAGGGTACAAGGGTAGTACCCTTGGGTGGAAATAGCTACCATTTATTGAGCCATTACTATGTCCAGGTTCTGTTCTGAACAGTATGCTTAGAACACACTGTTCTAAGCACACTATGTATGAACACATTTTATGAGATCATGGTGGTAAAACACAGCCTAGACCTTAGCCTGCATTCAGTAAATACTGGCCATGCTCATCAGTATTACAAATTCTGATACCCCAAGCAGAAATAGGGAGTCTTTTTCTGGAGGTCACAATGGGAGCTTTGTTGCAAGTGATTGGAGTCAGATTACAAAAGAGGTGACCCTGGAACTAGAGAGTGCAGGGCACAGGGAGCAGCGAAGACTGGCTGGGGTGCCAGGCAGCCTGGGGCATGGGCGCCAAGGCTGGTCCAGGGAGGAGCTGGACCCTGGGAGGCCCTTGCTACGAGTGCTCTGAAAGAACTGGGTCAAGCAAGTTGTCAGAAGCTGGCTGCCATGTGTCACAGCAGGCCATTAAGAGTACAAGTCAAAATGAGAGTAACGGTCAAACCTGCAATCACTTACTGGGATGAAATAAGCAAGAGGAGAAAGTGCCAGCTCCCGCGGTGTTCCATTTCCCCACGGGACAGCACCAGACAGGAATCAGATGTGTTGCAGATGGGGACTCATCTCAGCACTGAGGGAACCCCCGACACAACTCTCTTGCTGTTTTCTGGACTTGTGGGTGTGTGTTGGGGACAAAGAGAGCGGGGAAGGTCTAGCAGTGGAAAAGTACTGAGTCAGAGCAAAGTCTCCCCACAGCTCCCAATAAGGAGTCCTTGGCAAAGGTACCTGGGGAAGGCTCCGGTCGACAGCCCCCAAGATAGAGGAGTTGCATGGAGGCACCTGGGCCAGGAACGCAGCTACGCGTAAGAGCTCGGCCAGCCAGGGGGCCTGCCTCCTTGACTGCAGGTGCCCTCAGGGACTGCAGTGCCCTGGCTGTGCCCCAAGTCTGGTGTGGAGAGGGCAGTGTCCCCCCGGAGGCCTGCGTGTAAAACCCCTGTAATAATCTATGGCCGGGCCTGAAAGATTTCACAGAGTTGTGTGCCGGGAGCTGGACTCCTCACACGTGTGCGCCAGGTCTTTGGAGTCAGCTAGCTTCTCACTCACTAGCTGTTTGCCCTGGCATGGGGTCCTTTAATATCCCCGAGCCTTGGCTTCCTCATCTAGAAATCATTCTCTAACGAGTCCTTCTCTAATGACATTTACGTGAGAAGTTAACAAGGTAGTACCTACAGAACACTTAGCGCAGTGCCTGTGGGCTCGTGGTAGGTGCTCAATAATGGTGGCTGCATGTGTCAGTGAGCTAGTGCTGTGTAACAAACTCCTCCAAAGCTCAGAGACTTAAAGCAGCAATCATTTGTTTGCACATGACTTTGCAGTTTGACCAGGGCTCAGAAGGAACAGCTCGTCTCTGTTTCTCGGAGTATCCACCGGGCAGCTCAACTGTGCCTGGGGGACCCACTTCTAAGATGGCTCACTCACGTGTCTTGCAAGTGGATGCTGGATATGGGCTGGGCATGCAGCTGAGACTGTCGTCAGGGGCCAGGAGTTGGGGCGGGCACCTCAGTTCTCTACGTGGGCCTCACCCTGCAGCTGCCTGGGCTCCCTCGCAGCACCGTGGCTGGAGTTCCGAGAAGAAGGAAGTGGAAATTGCCAGTTCTCTTAAAGGTCAGGCTTAGGTCTGGCACGACATCACTCTGTCATATTCTCGTGCAGTCTCAGGCCAGCCCAGATGCAGGGGTAGCAGAATAGACATGGGATGGAGGTGTGGCTCAGGCATAAAAGGAGCGGAAGAACTGATGGTGACCATCTTTGGAAACGAGTCGACACACTGCTTTTATTATCAGTTGGGGTCAGGACTCCAGACGCATTAAAGACAGCTTCTCTCACATGCCTGGGGGAGTAGGCACTCCTTCCAGTCCACCAATCACGAGGCAAGGGAAACTTGGAAAGTCCCCCAGATTTTGAAAGAGAACCCATTGAAGCTACTTTCCACTACCAGTAGCTTTGAATCAAGTGATTAGGAAGAAAACTTTGGCAGGATGGGGACGCTTTAACTCCATGGCCACAGCCGGAAATCTTTGTGCATTAGAAAGGGCCCAGGACCTAGGAGGGGCCCATCTGGGCAGACCTGCCTGAGAAGGCCTTCTGAGCCCTGGAGAAATTTTAGACAACTGGTGGAAGGTGGCAAGGTGGTTGCTATGGGTAACGGGCAGGGATACACCCACTCTTTTGTTTAGAGCTGATGACCTAAACTTGAGATGGGTATTTACAGAGAGGGATGTGGTCTGGACATGGCCTGTTCCGCATAGAGGCCACGCTGGAATGTGCCAGTTCTCTGCCAAATCAGGTCACCTTCTCCCTCCCACTTCATCCCCCTGGCCAACTCCCGAGAGGCCCTTCCCGGCCACCTGCCAGCCCAGGTAGGCCCCCTCCTGCAGTGCACTCACACAGCTCCCAGAACCGTGTCCTCTCTCATCCCGCGTGAACTTGCTTGTTTTTGAACTGATCCCCTCCCTGGGAACCCCACAGCTTCAGAGACCTTTAGCCCAGCTCTGTGAACGGCACATCCATTCCCCAGCTGCCCGAGATGGAAGCACAGGGGACCTCCTAGATTCTTCCTGCAGTCTCACCCCGCACATCCGCACATCCGCTGGTTGTTCAGACTCCTCCTCCCGGCATCCTTCAAACCTCTCCTGACTCCCCTCCTCCTCCTACTCCCATGGACCTCCTCTCACCTGAGTTACCCACAGCGGCCCCCTCCCAGGCCTCCCTGCCCCCAGGCCTTTCTGAGGACAGTCTTCAGGCCCCGCTCCCTGTCCCACCCCTGGAGTGACTTCCCTTATCCCTCAGGGTGAAGTATAAGCTTCTGAACATGACCTACAGAGCCTTGCAGGGCCCAATGCTGCTTCCCACCCTGTATTTCGTTCAGCCACACTGGAAGTTTACTTCCTTGTCAATTGTTTACTTCA